AATCTTCTAGATGAGTTGGTTCCATCTAGTATCTCAATAGTGAAATATGACCGAATGGGAATCTTTTTCTTCTACTTTTCCTTGCTCGTATCTTACCATTTTCCTCACTCACAGCATCATAAGGTTTCTTCCTTGTTCTCCTTTTCAAGAAGCAGCAGCCTATGATGAAGAAAAGCACAAAGGATACTGCAACTGGAACAACAATGGCAATAACTTGTTTTGAAATTCTTCCATTTCCTGAATTGGAAACACATAAGAGGAAGAGAAACGATAAATTTTCTTGTCGAAATCTTCCACTGAATAACTAGGAGATTAACTGAGATATATCCCTTGTTATGATCACTTCGGACTTATATTGATGCTTATTGCTTAACTATTTCGTTATAAGGAAAAAGAAAAAAAATAATCTTTTTTTTCTCGTCGAAATCCATGTTTATAAAAGAATGTATTGCTTAAGAATCAAGACGTTACCTTGACTGGTTGTAGAAGGCAAGGGAGGCGGTGGCTGAATAGGAGGAATATTTGGAGTAGGCGATGGTGCAGGGGCCAAAGTAGAATTAAAGAAGGGGTATGTCTCATACCTAATATTACAGCTTTCAACAATAACTCTTCCTCCTTTCTTATTATCACAACATGTTCTTAATCGCGGGATCGCATTTCGAAGGCAGATGTCACAATCTCCACTTGTAAGATCTGGCGTGCACTGTGCCAGTGTATACAATCTTTCAAATTCCGTGAAGTTAGCTATTTTTGTAGCAAATTTCTTACCGGGGAGATTACTATTAACTGCTTCCGTTGCTATTTCATTCATCGTCTCTCCTAATAACTGTCTGAACCTATTGGGTTCTGTAATGTTCTCCATATTATACAGGTATACAATGAACGACTGCTCGACCCTCGAGAATATAGATTCATTTGAGTAGCGTAACATGCAATAGTCGTACCTGTTTCAACAATATTTAAATGAATATATTGATAACTTCAACTTTTGATAAAATAAACAGTTATACCAGATAGTTGCCCGTTTTTCCTCGGGACAAAGTTGTAGGACTTCAGTTGTAGCATTTTCCACACATTGTTGGCAGGCATCGGTATTAACATCGCCCCTACATAGAAAGAGACCGTAGACGGTGTTGGGAGGGCCACGGCCGACCATGTCATTGTAAAATCCGTTCTCCCGGGTGGCGTTTGAGGATAAAGTGAGGAAAAGCTGATTCAAGTTGGATCGATAGGTGCTATTAGGACTGTACGTTGTTGTATTTGGGCAATAATGGTAAAGAGGATCCGATCTAATTCTTGTGCTGAAGCAGAGAATGTAAAATAAGCAAAAATATGTAGAGATTATGAGGGCTGACATGGTTATCCTTAAAGATTAAAAATAAAAAAAAAATCTGCTTATAATTTTGATATCTTTTCAAATAGAAATGGATTTTTATAGGACGTGGAAGGAGCGGTGAGCGAAGACTTGATGTTCCAGTCAATGAAATATTGCAAGATCTTTTGGTTGTCTTGGTCCTTATGGAAATTAATAAAGATGATAGGAACCAGATTAGACTATTGATGGAGAAAGGACTGAATAATGTTGATTTTTATATGGTATAGAATTTACGACTCTTAATATTTCAACTGTCCACACGTGTGTTCAGTTTCATAATAGTCTGGCACTTGAAAATCACAGCCAGCCTGTTACTAGCCGAGCGTTGTGGTCCGGGGCAGACCCACTTGAGGCCCAAGGGGGTCAGCCGCCCCCACTCGATTTTCAAATTTTTTATTTTTCTTGAGGTTTTTTCAGGTTTTCAAGATTTTTTCTATGATATTTTGGTTTCGCCCCTTAAGTTTTTTGGTTTCGCCCCCACTGAATTTTCATCCTGGATCCGCCCCTGTGGCGAAGACAAAGTATGGCCCGCTTGTACGGAAAAAGTACTTATAACTAACCTTCCGCTAATCACACAACTTCAAAAGTGGTTTCATGTCTGGAAAACATCCAGTAACATAACTATCCAAGCAATACCCCTCAAGCATCTTCAACATCATGCACATCATCATTCTCGTACAAATTATAGGTGAAAAGGTCTGCACATGTCTTGAGGAATCAAAATAAGTAACGTGTTGCAGTGAAAGATACAAATATTTAGATGACAAGCAACTAAAAGTAAGAAGAGAAAAGCAGAGAAATTAGTTTTAAGACTTTTCAGCGACTTGTTTTGTCTCTTCTTTTCGGCCTTTTTGCGAGTACCACTTTTAACAAGCGCGCTCCTCAGTATTTTACATCGGTTTGTGCTTGATATACATAATTTATGTACATAGAGATGTTCATACCCCTTACATAGAATGAGACTAGTCTCGAATACCACCTTTAATAAGCTTGTTCCTCAATAGGGTTGTGCTTTATGCCACCTCATGTAAGGGGTGTGGATACCTGTATGTACATAAATTATGTTATCTAACCTCATGTGAAGGGTGTGGACAAAATAAAAAATATGACCGTTATTCATAACATCAAACCACCATATTTGATTTTTTATTTTTTGTGTGGACCCATAACGACTATATTTTTCATTCTCATTTTTACAATAATGTGCTCAAACGGGGCTTAATATGGCTAGCTTTACTTTCAAACCAAGTATTGTAAGTCAAACTTATATTAAAAATGATTATACTTTTTTATATTATATTTTTCACATATAAATAAATATTTTAAGTTCTACCAAACACACGCTAAGTAATATCGGTTATTTTGATTGGGTAATATGACATGATGAAGACTAAAAAAATTGAATATAATAATAGAATTTTGAAAATTAGGTTCATAGTTTTCAAACTCGATGTGAATGTTGACTGACCAAGCCTTCAAGTCACCGGCTCATTTGTCGAACCGATGGACCATTGGTCCGATTGAGGGGTCTAATATTCAAGTAGTAGCCCGACTTTTAAACTTCGACTAATGTCTACAAAAAATCTCAAATCCATCCCAAGATAATGCAACGATATATTATTGTGACCCTGTCCTTCAAAAGTAGATTCATGAATTTTACTGATTATAACAAAATATATTAAAAAAATGTTTACTAGTGAGATGAAATATTTTTTGCTTAATTATATGAATTTTGAAAGTATGCTTGATGCAATACTTTTGAAAATAAGATAAATCTTCTTAGGATAATAATTAAGTTCCATGGCTACATAGCATTACTCTAATATTATTCTTGGTAAATGGCACAATGCTTTGAAAATAAAATGAGAGAGTGTAATAAATATTTATTAGTGGTAGAAACTATCATTTCCTGACAATCTAATTATAACAAGGATTAATTAGGATTTAGGCAACAGCAATGTACCTGGGCCGTACAAAGAAAAATATGCATTAGAAAAAGAAATTGCAATAAAACTAGCTTTTGCTTTTCAATCCGTCATGTTTCCCTTCCTCCAAACCCAGCTTTACATATTAAATAACTTAATCTATACCCCAGCCCTTGTTTGAGCCTCATTTTTGGGAGAAAAATGAATTTTTGAATAGTGTATTGATGGGAAATATGTGATTATAAAATAAGGAAAAAATTTAAATTTACGTGTAATATTATTTTATTGAAGAATGTGTGGTTAAAATACTGTTAAAAATACATTTTTTTTTTCAAAAGAATGGGGCTCAAACAAACTGACACATACACACACAATTTATTTGTGGCTTGGGTAACAAATGTCCTCTCGAAACCCCAAAACCTAAGTTATGCTCAATTTGTTTTTGCATTTATGAATTATGAGTTACAATTGAAGTTAACTTTCAACGGCCTACTTGAAGAAAATGTCGATGAAGATGGGTGATCGAGCAAATAATCATAATTTTAAGAAGATAATGATACACACATGCATAGCTCCAACTCCAACTCTTTCTCTCATTGATGCTAACTTGTGCAAATCTTCTACTCGTATTAATGATCAAAATGAATTTAGTTGATGTCCAACATGTTGAAGAGTTAAAACACAAAATTTTCTGAAACTTGAAGGACTATAAAAATAGTCAAAGTGATGAAAAACGAAAACATATGAACAAATTAATTAATTCCATCAATCTTATTTAAATATAACCAATAAAAATATGACCATTTCTACAAATCATAAAGATTAAAGGTTTGAATCAACTTCATATATTGTGTAATTTATGCTTTAGCCCATGGTCTTGATTAGTCACTGTTTGACCCTCACTTTTAAAATTTATTTTTGATTTTGGATCTACAACTTTAATCAATATTCAACCACATATTTCATCATTTCTTTTCATCAAAATTTACTATAAGTATAATTTTTAACTAAATCAAACAGTGACTTAATCTCGAGATGCACGTGCAGTGTTAAAGATTGGATAAACATGTCCAGTGGCGAATCTAGAATCAAAGTTCAGCTAGGGCGGACGTTGACTGTCAACAATTAACGATCGTAATAACGATGTCGTTTATTAATATTTACTTTATTATCTAGTGTTTCAATTAAAATTGATTCTAATATTTTCCTTTTTATCTCTTTTCCCATCTTATTCAAATGCATTCTCTCTTTCCCCTTCTTAATTCTTATTCTTCCATCTCTTCTCTCAAGACAGACCACAGTCTAGTCTCACTTGGTCACTGAATACCTTTCATCTGAGTTCTACACATTATTCTTCTACTTTATTCTCTTACAATCATAATAAATAAGTTAATACATACCAAAAGGGGAAAAATGGCGACTGGACTTACCGTTATAGACTACAGTCAATAAGGATATAAGAAAGTCAGAAATTGAATTCTGCATAAAATCGAGGAATTTAAGGATTTTGCTTTCCTGTATCAATCAAACATTTTAATTTCAATGTATTTAACTATTATTATAAAACTCAGGAAAAGAGAAACACTGAGAAACACCTTCTTTTCTTCCAATTTGTCGTGCCAAAAACAGAGTTGGAGAGGCAGGCAAGCAGCGTCAAGTTTTTCCAATGGCAGCAGCAGTAAGACGGAACTGCGACGGTGAGCAGTGCTGTAGTTTTCTTCCGCTTGCAAATGTAATTGATTTTTTTCAATTGGAATGCCAAGTAATGGTGGGAAATGGAATTCATAATTGAGATTTGGGCCTGATTTTATTTTAAAAAAAACAAGAGGCTCAAAATTTAAACGTAAAAAGCCCCAAAACTTAAACAAAAAAGGCCCAAAACTTACCTACGTGTTGTTTCATCTTCCTCCACTTCTCCATCGGCGGTTACTGTAAATTTCATTTGGCGGCCACTGTAAACTCCGGCGGAGCTAGCACGCGCGATCGCACCCCCTCCCGGGTACTGGCTCCGCCACTGGATATGTCACATTCCAAATGTTCTAGTTGGCTTGAAATGTGAATAATCTAAACAAATGTGTGGTATGACTAGTCTTTGAATGTGAACATTCATTTGAGATTTAGATAGATCGAATTGTTGGTTAGAATTTTAATAAACTCTAATATTATATTAAAGACTCGTTTGGCAAGGCTTTTGAATAGTTAAAAATTATTTATAGGACTAAGAAACTATTTTTGGACACGTTTAGTGCTTGTTTGGTAGAGATTTTGATAATTGATATTTTGACCGGTAGAAATAAAGTGGATCCTACCTATAAGAGAAGAATTCAAAAATTACGACTGTAATAATGAAATAACGGTCAAAAATTGATTTTAATTGACTTTTTAAGTGTACCAAACAAGCTCAACTAATTTTCTTGAAAAAAATAGACCAAATGTGGCTTCCCCAAGAAATTATTCTACAAAAAGCAAAAGGAGAAGTCCAGCCAAACGAGTCTTAAGACTTGATCTTTCGCCCTTGTTTGGGCTCCATTAAAATTTAATGCATTTTTCCCTTTCCAATTTTTATTAATACATTTTTCAATAAAATAATATTTTACGTAATTAAAAAAATATCTTATTTTTTAATCACATGTTATTGAAAAAAATTACTATTACAAAATATATTTTTCCTAAAATTAAATTTTAATGGAGTTCAAACAGGAAGCTTCATTTTAAAATTTCAATCTGGTTAAGAGGATAGTTCAAATAATTATATGATTGTTAATATTTCGATATTTAATTGAAGTGAAATCTATCGATGTCCAGTTAAGTATTAACATAGTCAATATCTCAGAATATTGTAAATGTTTTTCGATGTCAATGTAATGGAAAGACAATTGATCTGTAGGTTTGCTTTTGCAAATTGTTTCAATATCTATAAATAATTTGTAATTTGTCTCTTCTGATTTAAACTTCCTCGTCTCAATTTCTATAGACTAATTAAGGGGTTCATATTTAGCCCTCGTTTGACCCCCCATTTTGTTGGAATAGTGTTTTTTTTTTTTGAATGAATAGTTGGAAAATAAGGAAAGGTTTTTGGTTTCACACAATATTATTTTACGAAAGAAAGAAATAAAATTTAATAGAATGAAAATTAATGAGGGCTAAACGAAGGCTTAACTTCCACCAGCCAAATGGCCCCTAAGTTTAAAATATTCATGCAA